GGGGAACTCCCTCTTTCTGTGTCCAAAAACACTTCTTTCTTAAGAAGAAACACTCCATCACGTTTCAAAGAGAGAGAGAGAGAGAGAGAGAGAGACAGTGTGTGTGTGTGTGTGTGTGTTTTGTTTTGTTGTTTTATTTTTTTAGATGGAGTCTCACTCTGTCACCCAGGCTATAGTGCAGTGGCGGGATCTCGGCTCACTGTAACGTCTAACTCCGAGGTTCAAGTGATTCTCCTGCCTCAGCTGCCCAAGTAGTTGGGATTACAGGCTCCCTCCATAACATCTGGCTAGTTTTTGTATTTTTGGTAGAAACAGGGTTTCAACATGTTGGCCAGCCTCAAGCCATCCAACCTGTTGCCTTGGCCTCCCAAAGTGCTGGGATAACAAGTGTAAGCCACCATGCTCAGCCCAAAGTGTGTTTTAGTAGACCAGCATTGAGAAAGACTTCAGCCCAGCAAGATAAAGTCTACACCCTCCCCAGCTGGGTGTCGGGCAGGGCAGCTCCCAGAAACTCACTGAGAACTGGGAAGTTTCCAGGGAGGGTGGGGAGGGCCAGACAGGTCATGTCTCTCACCGGAGTCAGGACACAGTCCTTTAGATAGGACGCTGGAGCAGAGATAAGATGCAGAATTTGATGTGTCACTCCAGCCTGGGCAATGAAGTGAGACTCTGTCTCAAAAAAAAGAGGGAGAATTCAGCTCCTTCCTTCAGCCACAGAGCTGTGTTTAGTGCATGTCTGTCAATGGCTTGCTCCCTCTGAAGTAGAGACCGCAGTCGGTGGTCCCGGGACTTTGTCAGTGAGTCCCTCCCTTGTGTTCTTTGGGTGGCTACAGTGGGACACTGCAGCGGCCTGCCTGTTAATCTGAACACTCTGGTCTCTCCAGTCTCTTTCAGGACCAATGAAGGTGCCTTTGAGGCCGGGCACGGTGGCTCACGCCTGTAATCCCAGCACTTTGGGAGGCCGAGGCGGGTGGATCACGAGGTCAAGAGATCGAGACCATCCTGGTCAACATGGTGAAACCCCGTCTCTACTAAAAATACAAAAAATTAGCTGGGCACGGTGGCGAGTGCCTGTAATCCCAGTTACTCAGGAGGCTGAGGCAGGAGAATTGCCTGAACCCAGGAGGCGGAGGTTGCCGTGAGCCGAGATCGCGCCATTGCACTCCAGCCTGGGTAACAAGAGCGAAACTCTGTCTCAAAAAAAAAACATATAAATAAAAATAAAAATAAAGAAGTTGCCTTTGAACCTTTATGGAAGAATTTATTTGAGTCCCAACCTAACCAGCCCCTCTTCGGGGACAGAAATATGACTGTTGTGACCCTGCCTAGGTCACAATCACTGGGAAACAGTGACTCAGGACATTGCAGTTTAATCATTTCAGGCTCCACATCAAATAAGATGAAATATATGACTTAGTGAGGTGGCCCCAGAGCAGCGGTTGTAGGGTTTTCTCCAGGACTTGTATGTCTGGCTTTGTGACTGGGGAGATCGTGTGCCGCTCACTGAAATGGAGGATGCGGGAGGAGGAACAGGTGTTGGGAAAATTGATGTTCAATGTGAGGATGTTGAATATGAGGTGGTGGCAGGTCGTCCCAGTACAGGGATCCAATAGATAATTGGATACAAGAGTCTGGAGCGTGGAGTAGGGGAAGGAAGTCCAATCTAGAGGTAATGAATGGTGACTCTCTATTTAATCGTTTTAGTTTGTTTGTTTTTGAGAGGGAGTTTTGCTCTTGTGGTCCAGGCCGGAGTGTAGTGGCACAATCTCAGCTCACTGCAACCTCTGCCTCCCGGGTTCAAGTGATTCTCCTGCCTCAGACTCCCAAGTAGCTAGGATTATAGGCGCCAGCCACCACATCCAGCTAATTTTTTGTATTTTTAGTAGAGATGGGGTTTCGCCATGTTGGGCAGGCTAGTCTCGAACTCCTGACCTCCGGTGATCGCCCGCCTCCGCCTCCCAAAGTGCTGGGATTACAGGTGTTAGCCACCGTGCCCGGCCATTAATTGTTAAATCTTGTTTAAACAAATCTTATTTAAACCATGGGTTTGGATGGGGACATTCAAGGACCCTTCACAGACCAGAAAAGCTTAGAGCCAAGGATGGAGTCCTGGGGCATGGTGGGAAAAACACAGGAAGGCGCTCCAAGGAAGGAGCTACCAGAGAGGCAGGGGTTAAGCCAGGAGAAGGTGGAAAAAGCCAGCAGAGGACAGAGTTTCAAGGAGAAGGTGGCCAACACAGTCAAATGACTAAGAGGCTGGAGGTCAGATCAGACCTGGAAATGCTCTCTGGACTTAGCCAACGTGAAGGTCGAAGGTGATTTTAGCGAAAGCATTTCAGGGGCTGGTGAAGGAGATGCAGGAGTGCAGGCAGTGGAGGAGATAAGGGAGAGGCTAATGGGAAGGACACAGACCACAGCAGAGTGGATGGGGTGGGCGGGGGGAGAAAACTGAGCAGGCTTATTTGGGGAAGGAAAGAATCAACGGAGACGGATATGAAGGCAGGGTCAAGAGAGGGTCCCGGCGGAAGACAATGGAAGGTGCTGAGAGGGGAGGAGGAGTGGGGGGAGAAGAGGAGGGGAAGGGGAGGGGAGGGAGGAGAGGAGAGGGGAAGGGGAAAGGGGAGGGGTAAGGGAGGGGCCACAGGGAGCAGCTGGTCGGAAGGCCCCGGCCTCCCCAGGCAGGGGAAGGGGAAGGCTGGCGTGCCTGTGTGCAGTGGGATTTGTAGGTGACAGGAAAGCTGCAGAAGCTATTTTGCTCCGTGAAGTGGGAGGCAGGACCATCTGCTGAGGCATGGTGGGAGCTGGTGGCAGGAGGTGAGGAGGGGCAGGAGAATCAGCTTCCCAGCATCTCCTCCGTGCTTGCTCCGTGGCTGTGGTGTGGCCCTTCAACATTCCACAGCTGACCCTGGGAGACGCTGGGCTGACCCAATGCTGGAACGTTCTGGGCAGAGCGACCAGTACCAGACTATGGGCTCCGGGCTGGATTGGGAAGCACTTAGGGGTTCCTATAAGGAAGCAAGCAACCAGGAGGAAAGGGAAGGGCCGTAGTGTGCGCTGGGAGCACAGATGGAAGGGAGAAGAACTGAAGAATCGGGATGGCCAAATGCTGAATGAATGAGTTCGGAGCTGGAGCTCCTCCCGACGGCAGTGGGCGCCCATGGGTGTGTGCTGCTTTAGTGGAGTGGAGAGGAACATCCTGGAGAGGAGGAGACCCAGGGAAACAAAGCCGGGGTATCGGACAGACTTCACCTCCGCCACTCAGAGAAGGTCCTCAGACGGGGACCTGGGGGCTGGAAGCCCCTCCAGCAGAGTCCAAGTGCTCAGGCAGCGCAGGGAAGGAAAACCAGGGACGCCTGCAGCAGCGGGGAGAAAACGGGGCGCACGAGTGGCCAGAGCCTCCGAGGAGGCGTTATATCGTGACGCAGAAAATGCGTCCCCCAAGAAGCAACGAGAGTTAAAATGACAGTGGCCCTGCCCCTCAGACACACCCAATAGGATCCTGGGTGCAGGAGAGCTAGGGTAAGCGAGCGGAGCCAGGAAGAGATTCCCAGAGGCTGAACGGACCAGCATTGGGGGACCAGCATTGGGAGACCAGCGGGGCAGGAGGCACAGGCAGGGCTGAGGACCTGTCCTGGGGGAGGGGTGGAGCTGGGACCTCGCCAGCCTCAAGAGATTAAGGCCTCTTTCTGTGTTGCAGGGGTGGCAGCACTGAGGCCAGATGCCACTTGCTGCCCAAGGCTCAGGGTTCCACAGACTCTGGAGAAAGGCTGGTGTGGGCTAAACAGCCTCTCCCTGGGTGCAGGTGGGTGTCAGGTGGCATTCATGGGGGTCTGTGGCAGGATTCCCACCTGAGACTGTTTCTCCTGCAGAGGGAACAGATCTTCTCTTCACATCATCCCCCGCATACACCCCTCCAGCCTCCTTTCTTAAAAATACAGGTGGAGGCTCACCATGTTGCCCAGGCTGGTCTTGAACTCCTGGGCTGGGCTCAAGTGATCCTCCTGCCTCAGCCTTCCCAAGTGCTGGGATTACAGGCGTGAGCCCCTGTGGCCAGTCTATGTTTTTGAGAATGAAGTATTGTTCTGTGACAGAAGATTGGCTGTGTCAGATGGAAACCAGCCTGGGGGCAGGGCTGGATCATGCTGATATTGAAGTATAGCTTGAGAAAGCTATACTTCAGGCCAGCACTAACCTTGGCCCTGACTCCTGGGACCCCCTCCTCATCCGCCCTCCGTTACCTGGAGGAAATCTCCATTTAATGTATAAGACTTAATGGCCAGGGCGGGCGCAGTGGCTCACACCTGTAATCCCAGCACTTTGGGAGGCCAAGGCGGGTGGATCGCAAGGTCAAGAGATCGAGACCATCCTGGCCAACATGGTGAAACCCTGTCTCTACTAAATACAAAAAATTAGCCGGGCATGGTGGCGCACACCTGTAATTCCCAGCTCTCAGGAGGCTAAGGCAGGGGAATCACTTGAATCGGGGAGGCAGAGGTTGCAGTGAGCCGAGATCATGCCATCACACTCCAGCTTGGGGGACAGGGCAAGGCTCCATCTCAAAAAAAAAAAAAGTATGTATGACTTAGCTTCCTTGATACTCACGTGAGAAGCCAGGAAGATGTGAGGCACGGGGAAAAGCGGGGAGTAAAAAATAAAATAAAAAACCTTAAAATATGTACCAGGTACTTTCCTTACACACCCCCATCTGGCGTGTGTTAGGGATGAGAGGATGTGTTTGGAGAAGTGAACAGTTCAAGGTCTTAGGCACCCAGCCAAAGTCCCCATGATGTGCCTCAGTACCACCCAGCAGCCCATCTTCATCTTCAGATGAGACTCAGATCCCGGGACATCTGCACATGGACAAGGTCCTGTTCCCCACTAGTCAGATTCCAATTTGTCCATGATATCCCAGATCTACCCACTCAACATTTAAGAGAGTTTCTGTCTCTTCTTTCACCACCAGTCTTGGTTAAACATCAGAAAAGAGACAAATTACACACTTCTCAGAAATTGAAATTTTATAAAAAGGCATTTTTCTCTTATATCCATAAAATGATATAATTTTTGCAAGTATAGAAATGTGTCATAAATTATAATGTTCCTTAATTACAGCTCAATGCAACTTGGTACTTTCTTCCCTCCCTAAAAAACGAGAGAGAACCAAAAAATAATATATATATATATAACTGTATATATATATATTTATATAATATAGACAAACAAAATATGAAAAAAAATCATTTCCTCTTTGGTATAAAAATCAGACTCTCACCTTGAGAGACACACAGACAGACATGATACTGGGTTTGTAAACTGTGCGGCCAAAAGGGATTTCCCTGCCAAGACTTCCCTCTCCCACTCCCTGCCCACCCATCCCCACCTCACTGCAGCCCCTCCAGTTCCTTTGGGGCTCCCACATGGAACATTTAAAATCCCCCTACCCACTCCCAGCTCCACGCCATTCCTGAAGTATCCCCTGACCCACTACCAAAAAAAAGAGGAAAGGATTCTTCTCAAGGCTGATTAGGTAGCGACTAACTTGGGAATCGCCTTATTTAGGGAATAGCTTCATAGGTGTGGACGATGTAAAGGACATGCTGTGGCCGGACTCTGACTGTGTCCCATCCAGTCCAAGCCAGGTGCTGGCCTGGGCCTGGCTGTGCCCTTCTCCTCCTCTACCACCCAGTACAAGGACTCCACCACCTCTTGCCAGATGCTGGGCCTGAGGGGCGGGGCTCCTTGCTTCTGGGAGAAGGGAGAAGAAAGGCCAAATCCCCTTCCAGCCTCATCTCAGGCAAAGGGCCCTGGGGTTTAGGTGCAAGAAAGCACCAGATGGGGAGTCAAAGGGAGGTTAAAAGGAGTCTGCCAATAAACTTGGGTTTAAATTTAACATTAAAGAAAACTACCCCTCCCCACCAACCAAATTTCAGACGCAGCTTTAGCTCACTAAGGATTTGGGGGCTACTTTCCCAGGCTCCAGCCCAAGGCCAGCAGGACTAAGGAATCCAGGAACTGATACATGTGTGTTGGGGGCAGAGGGCGGCACTATACGCTCAAGGTGAGGAAGGAGACAGGACCAAACCCTCTTTTGCCCTTCCCACCACCCTCTGCTGACGGGCACCTCCCTCCCTGGTCAGCTCCTCTGTCCCACAGAGCACTGGCCACTGCAGAGAGCGCCAATGCGGATCCTCCCGAACCGCCCCATGGCCCGCCAGGCTGCAGCATCCCAGCATGTGCCAGCCTCCTCTTCCCAGGAGTTAAGACACCAACCACAACATAAAAGTCACATAAAGCCCTCCTCCACTTGCCAAATGAAAAAGACAAAACCAAACTGGACACAACACAAATCAAGGAGAGACATACACGATGTGAGGGGCCGAGGCCCCTGCAGGTCTCTGGCTTCCCGGCATGGTACATTCTTGTGTAATTCAGGAACAGGGGCACTAGGGCCCCTCTGGGGAGTAGGAGTAAAAAAATAAGGAGATTATAGTCTCCCTGTGGGTCCCAGGCTGGGCAGGGGCAGACGCAATCTCTCACAGTTTTTTCTCGTTTTTGGTTCCACATCTGATCCCCGACCGGGGCTGGCTCCCCGTGCCTCAGCCTCTGCTCTGCCCTTGGGCCTGCTTCCTCTAGCTCCCCAGCAGGTAGAAGGGCCTGCAGCTGGGGATGGATGCCCCAGCCACACGTGGTGGGACCAACAGGACAGAGTCTACCGGGGGGACGGGAGGCAAGGAATGAGGACCAGCAGTTTCGAGACGCTGTTCCCTCAGTGACTGGCCAGCCCTGGGTGCTCTGGTCACTGGCACAGGGCATCCATCCTTGGCCTTCAGCCCTTGAGGGGCTTGTCGGCACCGCCACTGGGGCTACTGGCACTGTCACTCTTCTTCCTGCGCAGGCTCTCAATCCAGCTGGAGCTGGAGCGGGTGGTAAAGCTGGAGAGCGCAAGGGAGCTCAGCCGCATGTTCTTGCCAGACATGATGAGCTCCCCAAAGCCCTCCTGGTGGGAGAAAGCATAGCCAGAGCGCCGGGAGCCTGTGCGGCCAACCCGCCGCATGCAGCGGTGCTGGGCCTTCTGCTTCTTCCTCACCAGCTGGGTGTAGCGGACCTGCAGAGGGGCATAGGGAAGAGCCCTCTGTCAGCATGGAGATGTCAGACATCACCAAGGAGAAGGGACCCTGAGCACTGGGGACCAGGCTGATGTGGAGGCCTCCACAGCCATCTGCACAAGGCTTCTGTCCACAGGGAGAGCAGATAAGCACCACCAACACACTGAGCAGTCACACGGCCCTGCTGAGCCCCACCAGTGTTCAAGCCAGGGGCCTTTCTGGACATCCCATCGCTGCCTCCCACAGCGGGTAACCCGGCTTCTCACCGTGTCGGAGAGATCTGGCTTCAGGTTGAGCCTGAGGAATCGAAAGGCAACCACAGGCATAATGCAGACGACCGTGGTGAGCACGATGGTCAGCCACACAGTGGGCTGGGCCAAGGTGTTCTGGGCATTCCCTGGGGACAGAGAGGAGTCGGTGGCCTTGGGAGTCATGATGCGGACCTTCCCCATTCCCATTTCTGGCTCCACTTTCCCACTCTCCAAGCCTAAGTCCCCTCTGGCTTCCCACTTCTCCAGGCCCGCCCTCCAAATGCAGATCTCCACATTTAGTTCCCAGCTCCCCCAGAGCTCCAGACCTGCTGCTTCAGGTGCCGGACTTGACATCCCTGTAGAACACCTAACAAGCATCTCAAATTTCCCGTGGCAAAACTCAACTATTGTTTCCTTCCCCCAAATCTGCTCTGGGTCTTTCTTAGCTCAGGAAATGCCACAACCCGTTCAGTTGCTCCCACTAAAAATCCCGCAATGGATCTTGATTCATTTCTTTTAAAAAAAATTTTTTTAATTTCTGTTTTTTGGGGTTTTTTTAAATCTTGATTCATTTTTCTCTCTTCTTTGGATCCCACATTCAATCTGTTGGTTCCATTTTCAAAACATCTCTGGAATCCCACAGCCTTTTACTCTATTCCAAGCCCCGATTATTCTCACCTGGTGATTGCTCTCACCTCCTAACCGGTCTCCCCATTTCCACCCTTGCCCCCCTACACTTGATTATCCACAAAACTGTTAAGAGTGGCCCTTTAAAAACATAAGTAAGCTTATGGTAGTTCCCTGCTCAAAACCCTCCAATGATTTTTGCTCACATTTAGATTAAAATTCGAAAATTCAAAGTTCTTCCTCTGACCCATAAGGGCTTAAATAATCTGGACTAATTCCCCATTCCCCCAGCAACTCATTTCCTCCACTCCTCTCCAGCTCCACGTGCGGAAGACCTCCTCCCAAGCCCCAGCTGAAGGCCTTTCTATTACTGTTTCCTCTTCCTGGATTGACAGTTCCCAGAGAGCCACATGGCATGCTCCTTCTCCCTTTATCAGATTTCTCTGTGCTGGCCAGGCATGGTGGCTCACACCAGTAATCCCAGCACTTTGGGAGGCCGGGGCAGGTGTATCACCTGAGGTCAGGAGTTCAAGGCCAGCCTGGCCAACATAGCGAAACCCCATCTCTACTAAAAATACAAAACTGAACCAAGTGTGGTGGCAGGTGCTACTCAGGAGGCTGAGGCAGAAGAATTACTTGAACCTGGGAGGCGGAGGTTGCAGTGAGCCAAGATCATGCCACTGCATTCCAGCCTAGCAACAGAATTAAGACTCCGCCTCAAAAAAAAGAAAGGATGTATCTGTGCCAATGTCCCTTCCTCAAGAGGTCTTTGCTGACAATGCTTGTCACTCTCTAGCCTACTTAATGTTTCTTAAAGGACTTATTAGTTCCAGACTTTTTTTTTTTGAGATGGAGTTTCGCTCTTGTTACACAGGAGTGCAATGGCACGATCTCAGCTCACCACAACCTCCGCCTCCTGGGTTCAAGCAATTCTCCTGCCTCAGCCTCCCGAGTAGCTGAGACTACAGGCGTGCGCCACCATGCCCAGCTAATTTTTGTATTTTTTTAGTAGAGACGGGGTTTCACCTTGTTGACCAGGATGGTCTCAATCCCTTGACCTCATGATCCACCCGCCTCGGCCTCCCAAAGTGCTGGGATTACAGGCGTGAGCCACCGCGCCCGGCCTAGTTCCAGACATTTTATCTGTTAACTTGAAATAAAAAAATTAAATAACAGCAATAATAGTAAAACAAAACTTTATAATTTATAGTGGTTTTATAATAAAGTAAATTTTACTGTGTTGTGTGCTGTTTAACACAATACCTCCCCAGCTCTGTTTAAGGTGGAATAACTGCCTTCCTGCAAACCATTACACCTTATTTATCCTCCCCATATTCTTAGCAAAGTTCCGAGGCATCTAAAAGTTCCTGGTTTTCTTGCTAACCAGCTGCAAGGTCACAGAGCGAATAAACTCAAAATTGCAAAATGCGTTTCTCAAAATGTTATTTTTCAAATGTAAGTACATCACAGTCTGTCACATGTGAACTGCTCTCCGTTCTGGCTTCTGTAAACCTGCCTCCTGCTTCATCATCGGCACCACCCAGCTGCATAAAAAGCATCCCATTTTCTTTGTCCCTTGCTCAGAATTAAAAAGCAATTCCGCTAAGCCCATGATCATGATGAATAAAATCTTCCTGCAACCCCGTTGGTCTCTCATTTCCCGCTACAATAAATTATCTGTCTCTCATACATAAAATCCAGGAGGGCAACCGCTTCACCTGTTGGTTAATTAATTGCAGCCACCTGGGCATTCCGAATAATGGGTCACCTACTAGGAGCTTTAAAATGCTTGTGTGACAAATGAACAAACAGATCTGAAGCAAATGCCAAGACTAAATGCTTCCTTCACTTCACGCCTCCCCCCTCTGTGCCACCCAGCACGGCCACCCTGGCACCGATTCTGAAGCACTTCACACTTGGTCACTCCGGTAACTCCCTTGCTGGACGTCAGTGCCAGCTTCATCTTTCTCAAGCAGCCTTTTGATGCTGCTCCCTTTGCTTCCTCTAAAGAAATGAATCGAGTCTCCCAGCAAGTTGAATGCAGTCCTGACACCCCAAGAGCTCTGCCTTTCCAGCCTCTCTCCCACTGTTTCTCAGTGAGGGCTCTTGCCCATTCTGGCTGGAGCACTTTCCATTCCCTACAAACACCTCCAGTTCTCCAGCTTGGAATCTGACTCCCCACTCCTTTCTCTACTCACAGCAGCCCCCTCTCTGGAACTGTCCCCGGCTACCGCACCAAAAGCAGCTCTGCTGACCACGAGGCCTGGCCTCCCGTGCTCTGGCAGGGATGTTCTTCACTTTCATGGATATGGAAGCTCTTTGGGGGCAAGGCCTGGGTCAGATAGAACACGATATCCCCGCAGCACCTCACTGAATATTTGGCACGTAAGGAATGTCGAACCTGGAGAGTGGCTGACGGCCCTGCTAGTCCCAGAACAGCTGTGATTCCTCACTGATTCAAGGAGGCCACAGGGACTTACCCACAAACCGGAACTGGTTGGGAAACATGTCGAAGAGCCCATTGCTGTGCATGGCAAAGAGGATGGCAAAGTAAACAGCAAGGCTGCCCCAGATGAAGAAGTGGTTGATGGCCGTCCAGTAGCCTGTGTCCAGCCCTATCTGCAGAAAGTAGGCACAGTCAGGCCTACTTTCCCCTCAAAAACCCCTTCCCCCGAAACAGAACTGTGGTGCCCAGGGCAGTCGCAGGGACAGAAGGCTCACTCCTTCCAGAGAAGCGGGGAGTTCCTGGATGGCCTCATACCTGCACACTAACCACGATGACCAGTGACGTGGCCACAGTGACTGCAAAGGACTGGTAGTCAGCCAGCTGGGTGCCATCATCCCGGGTGGCCTCAGCAAACACCCCGTAGGGAATGAAGAACATGAGCACGGAGGTGTAGATGCCCTGGGCGATGCAGATGAAGAACTCCCGCTTGTTGAAGAGAAGGTTCAGCTGGCCCGGCTCATACAGCTTAGGGTACTCCATGCTCCGCTGCTCGGGGACATCCTGTGTGGGAGGATCACACAGCATGGGGGTGCCTCAGAGGTTACCGTTTTGACTCAGGGTGGTCGAGGGCAGACTCTGTCCCTGCCTCCTTTCCAAAGTCTTTGGCAGCTACAACCAACCTCAAGCCAGCTACCGGAAGCCTAACTCAGCTCAGCGACCCAGGAGAGTTCTAGATCAGCTGCAGCCAGGAGGGAGAACCAGCCACACCCTCCCCAGCTGAAAGAACTGCCTTCCCAGTGGCCACAGGCAATGGGCACAAGTGTCACACACCACGTCTATGTGACTCCTTCAAGCCGTGACCTTCCCCGCATCCCGTCTGATCATCAAACTCCCCCATACCTGATCAAACACCCCCATAGCCAGGACTGGCAGGGAGGTGTATACGATGTTATACAGGGTGATGAAATACTGGTCATAGACGGTCTGAAAGAGAACAGGGAGCAACCTTTGTTTGCTACACATCAGGCACAGGAAGACAGCTGATGTCACATACAGAGAACGCTAAGAAATTTTTTCAGACTCCTTCTCTGCCACTTTAACAAGCTTTTTTTTTGAGATGGAGTCCTGTTCTGTCACCCAGGCTGGAGTGCAGTGGCGTGATCTCAGCTCATTGTAACCTCTGCCACCCGGGTTCAAACAATTCTCCTGCCTCAGCTTCCTGAGGAGCTGGGATTGCAGGCATGCACTACCATGCCCAGCTAATTTTTGTATTTTCAGTAGACATGGGTTTCACCATGTTGGCCAGGCTAGTCTTGAATTCCTGGCCTCAAGCAATCTGCCTGCGTTGGCCTCCCAAAGTGCTGGAATTACAGGTGTGAGCCACTGCACCCGGCCCTTTTTTTTTTTTTTGAGATGGAGTTTCGCTCTGGTTGCCCAGGCTGGAGCGCAATGGCATGATTTTGGCTCACTGCAACCTCGGCCTCCTGGGTTCAAATGATTCTTCTGCCTCAGCCTCCCGAGTAGCTAGGATTATAGGCGTATGCCACCGCACCTGGCTAATTTTGTATTTTTAATAGAGACAGGGTTTCTCCACATTGGTCAGGCTGGTCTTGAACATCCACATGCCTCAGCCTCCCAAAGTTTGCGATTACAGGCCTGAGCCACTGCACCCAGCCTAATAAGCACTTTTTAAGAGTATGTACCAGAAAATAGCTAGGCCCTGGGGAACTGAGTGATAAACACGACAGAACCTCTGCCCTGAGGTTTATGGATTTGCACTACAGTGGACTGAAGACATTTATTACCTGGGCTGAGAAGCCGCAGAAGAAGCCAAACCAGAAGTGGACCATGGTGAAAGCAAAGTTTTTGTAGAAGAAATAGCAAAGAAACTTGCACATTCTCAGGTAGGACCAGCGCCCATGCACCAGCAGGAGGCGCTGCAGGAACTTGAACTGGGAGAAGGAGTAATCGGAGGCCAGGACAGCCTGGATCCCTTCCTGCCCACTGATGCCCACACCAATGTGAGCAGCTGCAGAGACAAGAGATGACAAGAGGATGAAGACGGCCACACACTTGAGAGCCTACCAAGTTACAAGCTCCTTTCCATCATTCTTCTCCAGCCCAGAGACTCAGTGGGCCCCTCCCCAGCCTGAGGCCCAGCGTGCACACCTGCAGAGTCCGCACTCACTTTTGATCATGCTGACATCATTGGCTCCATCTCCAATGGCAAGCGTCACAGCCTTCTTGTACTTCTTGACCAGTTCCACCACCTGTGCCTTCTGCAAGGGGGTCACGCGGCAGCAGATGACAGCTTTGCAGGCACACGCTGTCTCCAGAAACTCCAGCTCCATGTCCGCCTCCAGCGCATGGGCCTGGAGCACAGAGAAACCTGAGAGAGCCAATCTTCCCAGGAGACACCTGGGAGTCTCAGCTCCTCCCCATCCCCTTTGAGACCAGAGCCTCCTCCAAAATCAGGGGAAATTAGAACAAGATATAAAAGTCATGGCTCAGAAGTGCTCCCTGGAAAGATACTCTCCAAGCTAAGGATAGCGATGCCTACCAGGCTGTGACCATTGATGACCAGGGCGTACTCCCCAGCAACAGCCTCCAGGTCAGAAGTTAGCTTGGAAGAAGAAAGTTTCTCCTGATAGGTGAAGCCGTTGCCTACGGAGCGGGATGAGTCCATCATCTTCTCCCGGGCTTTCCTGTCGAGGCAGAAATGATACGGCTGTGGTCTTCCAGGACAGCAGTAGGGAGCAGGGATTCAAACCTAAACGGGGTCCAGAAACCCCCTCCTGAGCCCTGGGCACAATGCAGAGCACCACCTCCCTTGAGCTTCTTGTTTACCTGAGCTCCTCCCGCACCTCCAGGACAGTATGGCCGGTGACTATGAACACTTCGGTCATGTCGTCCGTCAGCATCTTGCAGGAATAGCCGATGTTCACAGCCGTCTCTACCAAGAGAGAACGCAGGAGCTACGGACAGGCACCCAACAAGGTCAGCACCCTCGCCTGCCTGATGTCCTCAGCTCCATGCAAGGGTCCAATGGGGCTACTGTCAGTTGCAACTGCCCGTGCCCTGCTGGGCTCTCACCTTGCTTGTCTCCGGTTAGCACCCAAATCTTGATGTTGGCCAGCGTCAGGAGGGCAATGGTCTCTGGAACGCCTTGCTGAAGCTTGTCCTCAATGGCCGTTGCACCCAGGAGCTGAAAATACCACAAGGGTTCCTGGCACAAGAGTCACAGGCATGAGCCCTCCATGCCCCACCTTGGCCCGTCCCGCAGCCCATACCATCATGTTGTTCTCGACCTCCTCGTAGATGCTAGCCAGCCTGTCCTCCCGGCTGTCCTGGGCCAGGCTGGCCTGGAGGCGTCGCTCAGCCCACTCCTCATAGTACTCTTCATCCAGGTCCCTGTAGGCCAGCACCAGGGTCCTCAGCCCTTCCCCTGCGTACTCCTGGAGGCAGAGTGGAGGGGCACACCTGGTAAGTGTGGAGAGCTACTGGACAGCGTGAGGATGACAATGACCAATCTGCACTGTAGACTGGACATGTCTCAACAGTGTAGACTTTAGGGACTGTCTCCACACACACAAAGAGGTCACTATGGGAGCTGATGTTAACTTGCCTGACTGTAGTCACTATATATACACATCAAAACATCATGTTGTATACCTTAAATTTACACAATAAAACAAAACTAAGAGTAGCAGAGCCCCCAGGCCGGCCCCTCCTCTCCTCACACCCACATTAAGGTGGTCCATGGTGGTGTTGAGCAGCTCCTGAGTGGAGTGGTGCAGTCTGTCGAGCAGGATAGTGTCAGCCCCTTTGCAGTAGAGTCGGATCTTCCCCTCTGGATTCCGCACTATGAATGGAGCAGAAAAATTCAGACAGGTAATGACTCCCAACCTAAACACGTCGAGAGTCACCCGGTACACTTCCCCCATTCCAGGCCTGAATCCTGTCCCTAAACGCCCCAGGACCCCAGTCCTGGCCTCACCTATGACTGACATCCGCTTGCGGATGTTGTTGAAGTCCAAGATGGCCAGCAGCTGGTAGGTGATGGCTGTGCCCATCTCATGGACGGTGATCGTTTTGGGGGTGCGAGAGCGGAATACAAAACCAAAGTTCCTGGCTGCAGTGACCAGGGCCCCCTCATCTGGGGACTGAGCTTTGTAGTACAGCTCTCCTGGGTGGGGAGGAAGAATACATGTGGTATAAGTGCCTCTCTCAGCCACGTGCCCCGCCCAGGAAGCCCCAGCCCAGCTGCATTGCAGAGCAGAGCAGAGCCCAACAGCGCAAGTCGGGTCAGGAGGGCGCGAGCCGGCTCCTCAGCCCACCTTCGTTCTTTTCTTCCGACATGACAGTATGACACAGGGAAAGGAGGCGGAAGAACTCATGCGTGTGGGGGTCCCCGATCTTGACAGCCTCCAGGAGGCTGGGGTCCCAAAATAAGAACTTCTTGTCAGCCAGAGGATTGAAGGAGAAGTCGACAGGTTCTGGCTTCTGGAACAGGTAAGAAGGCTCTTAGGAAAGGCTGGGGCGCCAGGCTGCATCCTGGGGGAGAGTTCATCCCTGCCCTCCCAACTCTCAGTAGGATCCTGTCCATTGTGGACCTCAAAATTTCTACTTCCATCACCAGTCCTGACTTAAAATACCCATTTCTCCAAGCATCTTCCATTCCTTATCCAGACAACACAGCACTCCTGGCCACACTAACTGTTACTGGCCAGGCACCCTGTTTCAATGGCACACAGAATTAGAGAGACTGAAGCTTACCTCTCCCAATTCAGCTTTGTGTCCCAGGACATCAAACACGTCACCTACACACAGCCAGGGCAGAAAAGGCAGCAATGTCAGAGCCGGAGAGCTCCAGAGCACGGAAAGAGGCCTCCAATGCAGAATCCCTGCAGGCGCGGAGCCCCTCAACCCTAATCGCGGAGCAGCTGTCACAGTGTCAGTCATTCAGTCACACTGCTGACTCGAGGGATGGGAGACAGCAGGCACCCCAGACCCCAGAACCCCTAGACCTGGTCATGGAAGAGCCCTCACCATCCCTGTCTCCACCCTGAGATGGCACTCCCCCAGGGCAGCTCCCAGGCCTCCTTACACACCCATTAGACCCGTGCAGTAGACACGGCTCAGACACTGGCCATAAGGCCTGGGACAGTACAGAAAGCAGTTACAAGCCGCGTCCACACTCTGCATAGAAGTCAGCCCCCAAGGCCGTCCCAGCAGCACAGCCACAGGCCACTGAAGCAGGGCCACACTGGGAATACCAACCGCAGCCACAGTTCACAGACTCACAAGGACCCTGAGCAGCAACAGGGGAGACTCTAGCAGGGTTCTGCCTGGCCAGGATGCCCAGAGGCCAGTGTCTCACTTCAAACAGCTAAAGAACTCCTCTATCACTTGGAGCTAAGACCAGGGTTGGGGTATCAGGGGAGTACTCTCAGAATCGGCTTCCTTTTTTTTTTTTTTGAAACTATTTCACTCTTGTCGCCCAGGATGGAGTGCAATGGTGTGATCTCAGCTCACTGCAACCTCTGCCTCCTGGGTTCAAGTGATTCTCCTGCCTCAGTCTCCAGAGTAGCTGGGATTACAGGCACCTGCCACCACACCCAGCTAATTTTTGTATTTTTAATAGAGACAGGGTTTCATCATGTTGGCCAGTCTGGTCTCGAACTCCTGACCTCAAGTGATGTGGCTGCCTCGGCCTCCCAAAGTGCTGGGATTACAGGTGTGAGCCACTGCGCCCAGCCAGGATCTGCTTCCTGGCATAGGACACAGAATGGACCTCTTCTTTGGGTGTGGATTTTTCTCGAGAGACAGGGTCTCACTCTGTCACCCAGGCTGGAGTGCAGTGGCAGGATCACAGCTCACTGCAGCCTTGACCTCCTGGGCTCAAGTGATCCTCGCACCTCAGCCTCCTGAGTCACTGGCCACCTGAGACCACAGGTGCACGCCACCACACCTGGCTAATTTTAAAATTTTTTGTTCTGCTTTGGTGGAAATAAAAGAAAAAAAAAAGAAAGAAAATTTTTTATAGGGATGGGGTCTCACATCATTGCCCAGGCTGGTCTCACACTCCTGCGCTCAAGCAATCCTCCCACTTCAGCCTCCCAAGTGCTAGGACTACAGGCATGAGCTGCTGAGCCTGGCCAGGATGGACCTTTCGAGGCCCCTCAGACTCAAATAGGAAGGAAGAAAAACCCCATGTTAAAGAAACTGTGGGGCCCCAGTTCTACTGTCCTTCCAGGTGAGGTGCAAGCCCCAGCCCCAGTGGTGCCACCATACCATAGCTGCGGCCATAGATGGAGCACTTGTTGAAGACCATGATGTTCTGGGTGAGGGTGCCTGTCTTGTCGGAGAAGATGTACTCCACCTGGCCCAGCTCCTCGTTTAGCGTGGTGGTGCGGGCTTCTGCGGGCGTCCGCTTCTTCATGCAGAACATTTTCTTATCCCAATTGATGAAGTAGCTGTGGCCCAGACGGATGACCTCCACACTGCACAGGGGACAGGAGGTGAGGCTTGGGTCGAGAAGGGGAGGAGGTGCCCCACCCACATGGGCCTTCGCTGCAGGCCCTCCGCCTAGGGAGAGACGAGAACGGAGAAGACACCTGGGCACAGGAACCTGGGTGGGAAAGGGCAAGGAGAGCCTGCAGGTGGAGCCAGCCGCACACAGCCAGCAGTGGAACGCCCCGACCCGACCCTCCTGACGCTCTCCAGACAAGAAGGTGGAAAGGGCCTGGGCAGGCAGGACAGACAGCAAAGGAGGAAAAGGGGCTGCAGACAAGGTGCACAGCCAGTTCTTACCTCAGGACTAGTAATACAGAAACCATGCAGAGAAAAACAAGAGAAAGTGCCAGAGAAAAGGGAGAGAGAAAAAAGAGAGAGAAATAATGAGGGTGCTGTGCATGCCACAGCTACATACACGCCATCTCAAAGGGGGGCCACCCCGGGGAGGGGACGTGGAGGTGGCCTGAAGCCCACTCCTCACTGCCCCACACAGGCAGAGGAGTGTGCTCCTTCCACTCTGGGCTCGGGGCTCTACATCCCTGATTCTGAACACGGGGCAGGGTTGAGGTGCTGACCCCAGAGGGAGAGGGCCCTGGGCATCTGCGGAACACCACCTCTTCCCAACAACACAGCGCTTTGTGGTGGTTGTTTGCTCATTTGTTTTTTAAGCTAGTGTCTCTGTCACCCAAGCTGTAGTGCAGTGGCGTAATCACAGCTCACTGAAGACTCAAACTCCTGGGCTCAAGCAATCCTCCCACCTCAGCCTCCCTAGTAGCTGGGAATACAGGTGCACACCACCACACCTGGCTAATTTTCATTTTTTGTAGAGATGGGGTCTCGCTGTGTTGCCCACGCTGGTGTTGAATTCCTGAACTCAAGAGATCCTCCCGCCTCCACCTCCCAAAGTGCTGGGATTACAGGTGACGGCCACCATGCCCAGCCAATGTAGTGCCTTTAACATCTCCAGGTCTGTTCATATCCTCTTCTTTGCTAATCATCATCTTTGGGATACGTACTGTCAGCGTTTCCAGAAAGGGCCGTGTTTAGGTCCAGTGCAGCTGACCAAGGGGGCCATATCTGGAGCCCTGCTTCCCACCTGACTAAGGCTCCTGTCAGGATCCCACGACCAGGCAAAAACTCAGACACTGGGAATGTCTTCACATTCCAAAGAGCCTTTTCCTCACGCAGCCCTTCAACCCACTCTCAGCCTCCCCCAAACATACACACTGTGACCTGATGAGACTCAGAAGGAAAACTGCTTTAGCAGCTCCCAAGGGCTTCAAGTGAACTGAGATACAAAACACAGATACAAAGACCGTAGGTGGGAAAACAAATTTAGGCTGTAAGCAAAGACATTAAAATAGTATAATGCAGAGGGAGTGGCGACAGCCACAATGAGCAGGCTACCACCCAATATATGTAAAGCCATTTAAGTTTAAAATGTATCTTCTAACCCAGCATCTTACATTAAGACAACGTATTCAAGGTGGCACAAGGACTACTGTTCCTGTTTACACGGGAAAACTGACATCAAGTGAGACCCTGAGTGACTGTAGATTTTCCTGCGGTCACACGGCCAGTGCAGAGGCAGGACTAAGCCCAGAACCTTCCATCTCCTCTTCACACTCGGGAAAAGCGAAACGGTACTCCCTCAGCACAGAAATGCTGTTATCTTCTATTTATTATCACCAGCAGTAAGGCTGGGGGGCTGGGAGAGAGCTGAGGGCTATTTGGGGAATCTGTATGAACAAAAGATGGGAGACAGGGCGAGTTTTCAGCACCTCCAAAAAACATTTCCTTAAAAATGTCACAGTTTCCCTTATCTCGAGTGCAAGGCGCTAAGCAGGAAAAGTTCCTTTCCCGGCCATTCTTCCCACCTCCTCTTCCGCCTCCTCCCCTCCATTCTCACTGGCCTGCTCCCTGCTAATGTTCTCTTCACCTCCAACAACCTGCACGTCTCCTCCATCCTATGCATGCTGCGCAGCAATGCCAGTCAGTACTTCCTAAAGCATTCTTTACACTTTTTTCTTTTTGGGGGGTGGGGGGACTTTCGGTGAAAACCGGAAAACCTGCTAGACAAATTCTACAAGAGCTGTTAACATTTAAAATGCATTTTCAGAATACAGCCTTCTGACTTTCTTCAAAAACTTTTAATGGTTAGTAAGTACAAAGTCCACAGGCAAAGATTCAAAAGCCTCCACACTCAGGGGCAAGCTATGCTTCCAGCTCTCACTCGTGGCCCAAACCCCTGGCCGGCTATTTCCACAGGCCATTCCAATGTGGCCCAGGGCCACCAGGCTCCCATCTCCACACCTTTACTCCCAGCCTTCTCCTCCTCCTCTCCTTTGCGGCTCCACCTTCACCACCCCAGTCACCACTCAAAGCCCAGAGCAAATGCCATCTCTTCTGCCCTGCCTACCTGCTTAGGGAGTGACATTCCCCAGCCCCCTGGCACCTGGTGCTTCCCACACTGTATCTCAGTCTGACACTTCCAGATCTCCCCTCCCCGACCCCTCCATCTCCTGCTGCTGAAGGCAGAGGCCACCTTATACATCTCTGTATCCCTTGCTTCACACAGAAGACTCTAGGTCGAGTTCTACAGCACTGGTTCCTATTTTGTTTTATAACGTGTTTAAGACTGTCCTTCCTTTAGAGGTAAGCACCTAGAAGGAAGGAGATCCATTCCTAATTCATCTTTGTAAGTGTGATGGCACCTGGCACACTTCTTTGTACACAATAGGCATGTAATAAATAGGTGCTGAATAAATCAGTTTTTTTTTTCTCTAATAAAGTCCCAAGTACCAGGAAACTGTGGTACAAAGTTTGCTCTGCACACAAAGATAAACAGATAACACGAAATGTTTACAGCACAGGAAGAAGAGGACTTCAAGTTACTTCTCAAGGACTTCATTTTCATAGAAAAGTGCTATGGGACCACCTGGGCTCCCTGGAGAGACCCCGGGGCAGAGACGGCACATACCTGACATAGAGTGAAATGGGCACAACGGTGTTGAGGATGATGATGTAGGACCAGAAGGAGAGGAAGCCAGAGAAAAAGGCACTGTCCACTGCCTCATCCCAGGGCAGGTAGACCTGGAAGCGCGTCCCCACCTCGTGCTCCCAGATGGCATTGCCAATGGCCAGGATCACCCCCATGCAAACCAGGAATCCAAAGATCTGGGGAGGAATGAGAAGCACAGGCCAGGCTGACATGTAGGAAGCCCTCAAAACCATGTACATCTGAGACGTATTCATCCCGTGAGCCCTCAAACGCTCAGACATCTTGAAACTTGGCCGCACGCTCTCGTGCAAGCTTGTCCAGCCCACAGCCTCTGGGCCACATGTGGCCCAACACAAATTCATAAACTTTCTTTTTTTTAAGAGTCAACAATGTGTTTTATTATATATCTTAGATTTATACATTTCATATATGCTTTTAAAGCTTCAATTAACAGTTCGATACAAAAGTTAAAACCAAATACATGCAGCAGTGGTTCTCAGGCACAGCATTTAGGAGGAGACAGGAGCAAGTCTTTTCCCTAGCACACACATAGTGACTATTATGAACCACAACGGTGGTTATGTTTCCTTCTGACCTAGCTGCATTTTCCACTGAATTTTGTTACAGTGAACAGCTTTCATAGGTATGATATTGCTAACGGGAAACAATGAGATTTAAAATAAATTGATAACCTGTATTTCCTTGGATCGTTAAGACCGAAAATGATTAATTTTCTCCTAATAGAGCTCCAGAATCATCCAATGAAAATAATATTGTCCATGAAGCATCTAGAGCAGCTGCCTGAGAACCACTGCCCAGGGTTATTCAACATCTTCAGGCCTCACCGGATGAGGTAATGGTATGATGGATTTCCAGGGATTTCTGTGTCCCTGGAAAGTGCTTTCCTCATATCATAAGCGTCCTCATCAGGCTCCCCATTGCTGGCTGAATAGTACTCTATGACTGTCCTGTACACACTGTAGCCCAATTGCTTGTACATGTTGACTGCAACTTGGTTAGATACTCTTACAAAGACATCGACAAAAACTCCACCCTTTCTCTCTGCAATCTCCTCTAATAACTCCGTAAGTTTAGCAGCCAAACCAAGGCGTTGAAATTCTGGGGCAACAGACAGAGCTGTGACCTGCCCATGCCATTCTTCCCTAGCTACTGAGCCTTCTGCTTTACCCATAATATAACCCATTAATTCTCCACCAGGTGCCCCTGCAACAATGAAATACTCTGGCCAGTGGGCAAGGTGCTGTAGGTAAAAAGGAATCCCATACATTTCTGTAAGGGGATCCAAGTTAATGCTGTTGAAGCAGAACAGGTCGTGGCAAGTCAAGGCCCGGAGTGTGGTCATCGCCCCACCACCGCTTCCAAAACCCGTCAAGCCATAAACTTTCTTTTTTTTTTTTTGAGACAGAGTTTCACTCTTGTTACCCAGACTGGAGTGCAATGGCGCGATCTCGGCTCACTGCAACCTCCGCCTCCTGGGTTCAAGCAATTCTCCTGCCTCAGCTTCCTGAGTAGCTGGGACTACAGACGTGCACCACCATGCCCAGCTAATTTTTTGTATTTTTAGTAAAGACGATGTTTCACCTTGTTGACCAGGATGGTCTCGATCTCTTGACCTCGTGATCCACCCGCCTTGGCCTCCCAAAGTGCTGGGATTATAGGCATGAGCCACCACACCCGGCCAAGCCATAAACTTTCTTAAAACACCATGAGATTTTGGTAACAACCGAATGTTAAATATATATACATATATATATATATATATATATAACTCATATATATATATATATAATTCATATATATTATTATATATATGAATATGTATACACGTACACGCATATATACAATATATATATTATACCCTATCTCAAAAAAAAAAAAATAACAAAAGCAAAAAACAGACCAGACACGGTGGCTGTTGCCTGTAATCCCAGTATTTTGGAAAGCCAAGGCAGGCAGATTACCTGAGGTCAGGAGTTCGAGACCAGCCTGACCAACATAAAGAAACCCTGTCTCTACTAAAAATACAAAATTAACCAGACGTGGTGGCACATGCCTGTAATCCCAGCTACTCAGGAGGATAAGGGAGGAGAATTGCTTGAACCCAGGAGGCAGAGGTTGCAGTGAGCCGAGATCACACCATTGCACTCCAGCCTGGGCAACAAGAGCAAAACTCCATCTCAAAAAATAAATAATTTTTCTTAAAAAATGAGATTTCTTTTTTAGCTTATCAGGTATTGTTAATGTTAGTGCATTTTATGTGTGGCCCCAGACAATTCTTCTTTCAATGTGGCCCTGGGACGCCAAAAGATTGGATACCCCTGCTCTAGCAGAAAAAGCTCAGAACTGGTGACAGGTTCTAGTCTGTCATCACTTATCATGTGGCCTTCTGTCTGACCATTATCTCATCTATATGATGGGGAAACTGAAAGAGTTGATTAGCTCCCAATCTGGCACCTTGAAACCTTCCAGAGTCCTCAAAGTTGGTAAGAGTAGGGATGAGCTACCTTTTTTTTTTTTTAATGGTACGTTAGGCTCTGCAGCACATGTGCACATCCTGCATCCTGCAGGACTGCTGCATAAGTACATACATGCCACATCCCCCCCGGGATGAGCTACTTTGAACATACCAGAAAGCTTACTATAAATTACCTATTTACCTGGGCTAGACCTCTAAAAGCCATCACAAATGCCAAGCTGTGGTAATGTTCACTATCTCACATAGATTGCCTTTTTTTGTAAACTCGGGACCAAATTGTATGTTCATAAATGTACATTGCTTTTTTTTTTTTGAGTCGGAGTTTCGCTGTTGTTACCCAGACTGGAGTACAATGGCACGATCTCAGCTCACTGCAACCTCCGCCTTCTGGGTTCAAGCAATTCTCCTGCCTCAGCCTCCCGAGTAGCTGGGACTACAGGCACGCACCACCATGCCCAGCTAATTTTTGTATTTTTAGTAGAGATGGGGTTTCACCATGTTGCCCAGGATGGTCTCGATCTCTTGACCTCGTGATCCACCCGCCTCGGCCTCCCAAAGTGCTGGGATTATAGGCGTGAGCCACCGCGCCCGGCTCATTGCTTCTTTTTAAAGACAGGTCTTGCTTTGTTGCCCAGGCTGGAATGTAGTTGCACAATCCTGGCTCAATGCAGCCTCAACCTCCCAGGCTCAGGCAATCCCCCTGCCTCAGCCTCCAGAATAACTGGGACCACAGGTGCATGCCACCAAACCTAGCTAATTTTTAAATTTTTTTGTAGAGACAGGGTCTCACTATGGTGCCCAGGCTGGTCTTGAACTCCTAGGCTCAAATGATCTTCCCACCTTGGCCTCCCAAAGTGCTGGGATTACAGGTGTGAGCCCCCACTCCTCATCTAGATTTCTTGTTTAGTCAAAAATCTTATAAATTTTGGAGTCTCTGGAGAGACGGATAAAAAAATCAGACCACTGTCCAATTTCCTACAACTATTTCCAAAGCTGCCTCCACTGTTGAGGCTTGGAAACAAAATAGGAGATTGGTGCCCAGTGACCACCAGGGGGCGACTGGAGCCCTACAGACAACCACCTCCCCAGGCTGGGTTTCCACACACCCTTTGAAGCCAGGGCGGAAACCCGCTCACCAGAGGCTGGCCCCAGCCTTTGCAAGCTGGCATGTAGGGGGCAGGCAGCAGACAGTGGGGGCGCAGGAAGGGGAGGAGAGCCCAATAAGGAGTTCAGATTTCTAGCTAAACAAGAGAAGGATTCAGGAATTGCCAAAAACTAAAACAGAAACTTTTCCTTTGGGATCCTTCATTCTTAGAAGTTGCGGGAAAAAGACCCTGCCAACCTCTTCCAAATGGAAATTTTTTTTATTCCCTCTCCATCCCCATGAAGGCCTCCTTGTCCCTGGCAAAAGCAAACAGAAGGTCACATGCTTCACAAAGTCATCATCATAACTGGAATCAGAGAAGGGATGATTTGTTTTAGCTTTAAGTTGTTGATTCGTGCACGTTCCTCAAGTTTTCTTAAATAACATCTTCCAACCTAAGAGGAGCCTAAAATAAACACTGCCTTGTGTAGCTGACCTGCCCGTGCCTTTAAAGCCAAACCTGAAGCTTTACTGACCAAAGAAGAGAAAGGAAAGGAAAAGGAGCCACCCAGGGTGAAGCAGAGGGCAGAGGCAGGGAACCAGACTCGGGGCACCTTACCCAGAGCACCAGGGTGTTCATCAGGCGATCAATACTCGTTCTTTTGAACTTTGTTCTGCCACTGTTTTGCATCAGCTTAGTGTCGGGACCTAGAAAAGAACGGGTAGGGCTGGGAAAGCCAAATAACACATCTGCCTCTGGGCTTCTGCCCTGGGCAACAAAGCAAGACCCTGTCTCAAAAAAGAAGCAATGTACATTTATGAACATACAGTTTGGTTCCCGAGTTTAAAAAAAAAAAAAGGGAAGCTATGTGAGATAGTGAACATTACCACAGCTTGGCATTTTTGTTGGCGTGTGGAGGCCTAGCCCAGATAAATAGATAACTTACAGTAAGCTTTCTGGTATGTTCAAAGTAGCTCATTCTGGGGGGGATGTGGCATGTATGTACTTATGCAGCAGTCCTGCAGGAAACAGGATGTGCACATGTACCCCAGAGCCTAAAGTACCATTAAAAAAAAAAAGGGGGGCTCATCCCTACTCTTACCAACTTTGAGGACTCTGGACAGCAGGGTGGAATAGAGACACTGGCTGGATAAGAGGGCTGTATGGAGACCTGGAGGCTTTTTACCTTAGATATTCTCCCACCTCATCCCATACTCCTGAGGGAGGGCTGGCTGAGTCACTAACTCTTGCCCTTCTTTCTTTGGATGCTAGGAGGCTCACCTGCAAAGATGACCAGCCCAAAGCACCACTCGGTGTTTCGCAGCACACAGCCCCGCAGCAGCATGTTCTGGTTGCTCAGGGGGAACTTGTCTTCCTTCCAGTAGAGGGTTCCACTGAATTTGTCCAGTTTGTTGTTGGGAGGTTCACAGATCACTTCACCTGAATGGAAGACAAGAATTTCACTGCTCAAGTACTGCTCCAGTCTACAGCCTGATCACAAGACCGTAAACCAAAGAGAAAATGAGCTGAGGGAGAGGATGCCAGGACAACGGCCCATCTATACGCTGCTGCTGGGAGTGTGAGCTGACGCAACTCTTCAGGAAAATAATGAAGCAGGTTGGGCAAGGTGGCTCACACCTGTAAGCCCAGCACTTTGGGAGGCTGAGGTGGGCAGATCACTTGAGGTCAGGAGTTTGAGACCAGCCTGGTCAACATGGTGAAACCCTGTATCTACTAAAAATAAAAAAATTAGCTGGGCATGGTGGTGGGCACCTATAATTCCAGCTACTCAGGAGGCTGAATCATGAGAATCGCTTGAACCTGGGAGGTGGAGGTTGCAGTGAGCCAAGATCGCACGACTGCACTCCAGCCTGGGCGACAGAGTGAGTCTCTGTCTCAAAAAAAAAAAGCAGCAGCATAACCTAATATTTGCTTGTATAAACATATATGAAAAAGTGTGGATGAACACACACTGACTATCAGTTAATGTGGCTACCTATGCAGGGCAGAAGAAGAGGAAAGGAAAAGCTATTTTCTTTTTTTTTCTTCTTCTTCTTTTTGAGACAGTCTCACTCTGTTGCCCAGGCTGGAGTGCAGTGGTGCAATCTCGGCTCACTGCAACCTCTACCTCCCAGGTTCAAGCGATTCTTCTGCCTCAGCCTCTCGAGTAGCTGGGACTACCAGTGCCCACCATCATGCCTGGCTAATTTTTGCATTTTTAGTAGAAACAGGGTTTCACCATGTTGGCCCAGTCTGGTCTCCAACTTCTGGCCTCAGGCAATCTGCCCACCTCAGCCTCCCAAAGTGCTGGGATTACAGGTGTAAGCCACAGTACTGGCCTCTATTAACTTTGTCTTATGTACTCTGTATGGTCTGTCTTATAAGAAGCATATATTATTATTCCAAGCTAATAAGCAAAAAGAATAAGCTGAATTTCTCTCAGCATGCATAGCACATGGGGCGCTATCAGCCACAAAGTTCCCTTGAAATAATCAACTCACAACCAAGAGGTAGCCACACATTATCAACATTCCCCTCCCCAAAACAGTCCTGGGAGTTGCCTAATCATAACAACAAAAAGCCCAAAGGAAAAGGTATCATTTGACTCCCCCCAAACAAAACCCAGCCCCCCTCCTCTACCTTCAGGCTACTCCTCCAAAGATTACTCACCATCAAACTTGGCAAGCTTACTGATGTCTCCCAGTTCTGAAGTGATTGGAATCGCCTGACGTACTTTCATGTTGGTCTCGCTGGAAGGACAGTATCCCTGAGTCCCCACTCCTTCCTCATCCTCTAAATGTTTCCTTTTAATAGATCGCTCTGTTGCCCAAGCTGGAGTACAGTGGCACGATCATACTGAAGCCTCCAACTCCTGGGCTCAAATGATCCTTCCACCTCAGCCTCCCAGGTAGCTGGGATTACAGGCATTAAAACTATCATGCCCAACTAATTTTTTAACTTTTTCCTATTTTTTTTTTTTTTTAATAGAGATGAGGTCTCACCATCTTGCCCAGGCTGGTCTCAAACTCCTGGGCTCAAGCAATCCTCCCACACTGGCCTCCCAAAGTGCTGGGATTTATAAGAGTGAGCCACCATGCCCAGCCTTCCCCATCCTCTAAATTCTACCCAGGGACACGTAAGCATAGGGCACAGCTGCTTAGCCCAGCAAATACTGGTTGAATAATACTTCATATATCCAAAGTCTTTCTTACCCCTGATTTTGCCAAATTCAGACAGAGCCCAGACCTAAGAACCTCGTTCAAAGACAATCTTTTTGCCTCCAAAGAGACAGAAGGAGAGGGCTGACACTGAGCATGCCGCTTACCCATCCAGTTCTGCTGTCTCTATGTAACACAGCCCATGGGGCTCACTGCTGGAAAGGAGGAGGAGATCCGCCTAGAGAGAAAACCTAATGAGAAGTCCAAATATGCCAAGCTCCACCCCCAGTGGGCTGTGATGATGGCTCCTCCCACTAAGCATTCTTGGTTTGCTTAGTTCCAGGTGCATCAGTGGCCCCCGGCGTGAGAAAGTTTCCTGCTGTGGGTGGGTGGGTGTTTAAGAGGCAACAGTAAATCGGGAAAGCTTCGTCCCTTTCTGACAAAGAAAAGGAAGAATGCTATAGGCCTAGAGGGGTACCCTGTCCCTTACCGCCACAAACTGGTTATTTTCTAGCTTGATAATATCACCAACACAGACATTCATCCACTGCTCCTGCTGGAGGCTGAGGCAACGAGAAGACAGTGAAGAGGCTGTCAGGAGCTACAGAGGCTCCTAGGGGACCCCCTTCCTCCCCAGAGCCCTTGTCTACAACAGGCACTCACATTCCATTGATCAGCACCTGAGACTGGCGGTTATTCACCTGGTTGTCACTCTTGTGGCGGAACTGAAAAGAAGAAAGCTGTAAAAGGTAAGACACCGTTCCCTGCCTGGAAGGAATTCGCTGATCAGCAGAACTCAGAGCACGTAGAGTAACGCCTCATACGCACCCCATCACAAACCAGTTCTCTCCTTTACTCCCCCCGCCCTCAGAGCAAAAAGACACCATGGATCTAGCCAGACTGGATAAGGGATGTCAAGGAAACCAAAAAATTGTGCTGGATGAAGGTGGCCGTGAGTTGGGGGTGGGCATGGGAGTAATGGTGGGTGACTGGAACAAAATGGAGGAATTAAAACAACTCACATAGTCATCAGTGGCATCTTTAACAGCTGTGATGGTGAGGACAAGAACCAAAGGCACAATGGTGGTGAACCAGGACAGGGAAGAGATCTGTGGGATCAGCTGAAAGGAAGAAAGAGAAGCATGCCTCCGAAAGCCCATCTGATGCCCTCCTTCCCCTTCCTCTTTCTTGACTTTAATCAGTTTGGGGAGCTGCAAAAGATCCACTAGGTATGGGTCACCTACCTGCAGAATGAGGAGGAACAGGAAGTAGGTATTGGCAACTTCCTGGAACTGCTCAAAGAGGTTGACAGGCAGGAAGGTGAGAATATTGTACTTGGAGGTCTTGATGCAGTTACTCTATGGCAGGAGAGAAGATAAATGAGCAGCCTCCAGCCCCAACCCAGAACCAGACTGAAGCTGCCTCACCATCTTTATACTTCCCCAGATCTCTGCCCCAAAAGCCAGCAATAACAGGTGTGGGAGGGGGAAAGAGGAGGAGAGAAGGGAGTCTCAAGGGGTCAATGTATTCTGCTTCACTGACAGGTGAAGGCATGAAAAATTCAGCACAGTAGCAGATGGAGAGTGGCTGAGGAGGTTGCCTTCCCCTCCCCCAAGCACTCTTCCCAGGCAGCCCTCAGTCCCAGCTTAGGCTGTCCTTGCCCCTCTCCAATCAGAGAGAAGGAACAGGTGGCCTAGAGTCACTTACCGCATACTGGAATTTCTCATTGTATTCTCGGTCATTAGCCCGCGCCCTCCTTTCTTCTTCTGCAACAAAATGATGCTGCAGTCAAGAGGAGCAGACTGAGGTCTGGACCAACACTTTGCGAGGGGTCCCTGGTTGTTTCCACAGAATATCGTTTTAAGGAGTTAGCTCCACAGCTGAGGGGTCATCACATTCTTCCCTCCAGTGCACCTTGCACCAGCGGCCTGACCGGCTCTCCAGGTTACACTCACAGGACAACCTTCAAGGTCTACAACTGGGAGCACCCAGTTTGTCTCCCCCACCCCCACTCCAGAGGAATCTTAGCCAATCCCCAGTCTGGGGATTCCCCAGCCCCTTTTGCTGCTATTATTAATGCATACATCGTCATAATCAATGAGTAGCGCTGAAAACACAAAGCTGCCCTCCCCCTGGGGACCACTACACATCTAGCCGCTCTACTGCTGTCTCCCTATTTCGAGGGTAGGCTAGGTGGCAAGAAGGAGGGTCACTGTACCCTGGAGCTGCGCTGCGGCAGCATCCCAGCCCCACGTGCAGTCCCCCTACAGGAGCCTCTGCTTGTCACATGTCACCAGCAGCTGCTTCTGACTGGCCCACAATGACATCACCTTATTTCAAAGCTCATCTTCAAGTAGGAAAGGTATGGGGTGGCCAGGGATATGGGTCATGCGGACTGAGACAGAGATGGAGGAGGGAGGAATGAAATGTAACTGAAACAGTCGGTCTCTAACTGGACCTTTCTTGTGCTATCTGCACGCATTTCCCTTAAAGGGCTCATTTGTCACTCAGTTAGTGACACTTATCTAGCTAAACCTATCCCAAACCTCTGCAGGCCTGGGACTGCAGCCACCAAATTCATGTCCCAGAACAAGGAGTTGTCCTATCATGGATTCCCCAGCCCATCCCCCGGGGGGTCACCATGACCTCATGCTGCAAAAGCGGGTAATTTGGTTAGGCAGTAAACCTAATGCCTTAAACCTGTCCAGGAGCCAAAGACAGCATTCCAGAACCTTTTCCACACTCCCCAGGACCCCTGCAGAGCACACTGCAGTAACAAAACCCCAGGCCACAGTGCCCCCTGCCTACCAAGCCACTTCACTCCCAGAAACTTCCCTAAAGGGGTTCCCTTCGGCTGAGTCCCCTGCGCAATCAGCCAAAGACCATGCAAAGGAAGATGGTGGGAACTAGACCCTTCGGGTCTGGAAAGGGGATCGAAGAAGGTAGGGGGAGGCTGGGGACAAGTGAATGTGGGGATTGGAGGGGGGAAATAATTGGAGGCCAGGATCTGCCTCCCGTTACCTGTCCCCCAAGAGGGCTTCTTTCGGCTCCAAGAGGGAGGTGGCCGGGCCCGAGCCCACTTCTCGGGCATCTCCTTGGGGACCGTCATAATCCCGGTTTGAGTGGGGGACGGCAGACAGTCTATACGTCCTTGGCCTTAGCGGCATCGAAGGGGCGGACCCCCGGGGAGGTGCAGGAGCCGCGGCCGCTCAGAGGGGAGCCCCGGCCGTCGGGCGCACGCCCCACTCACAGCCCAGGCCATCCTCCCAGCCGCCGGCACTCTGGGACGCCGCGAGCTCAGCTGCGCCGTGGCCGCCCCCCACTCCCCCCAGCGGACGCCTGCGTGCGCTGAGTGGCCCCAGACGCGCAGAGCACGCCCAGGGCTCCGCCCCCGCCCGCTCCCCAACTGCAGGGACCGCAGCCTGCTAGTGCGCCGCGTAGGCGAAAGCTCGCGCTCGAGCCCCGCCTTCCCTCCCACCCCCGGCCAATGCGGACTGCCAGCGTTGTCGGGGGCAACCGCTTTCACGCACACACACCCCCGCCCGCGGGAAAACGGGTGGATGGAAAAATGAGGGGGGCAGGGAGGGGGTGAAGGACCGAGCAGAGAATGAGAACACAGCTCCCTAGGCTAGAGAGCAGGAGCTGCAGGTGCCCCAAGACTGCAGATGTTTCGGGGCAGGATGGTGGGAGGGAGCTGGTGCTCAACGAGGTCCTGGCAGATAACCGAGCTTTGGAATGAATCAAGCGGAAGAATTTGGTTTCCTAGGCTCCCTCCAAGCTGGATAGGGGCTGTAAGCTACACTCCCTCAGACTATACCAGTTGTCCCTTCTCCCTTTGCTCCCTGAGCCATAACACCCACTCTTGATGGTTCCCGGGATCTCCCTCCTTGCCTGTCTTACCTGGGGGGCGCTTTTTTGCACACAGTGCCATCTCACCCAGCAAGGTCCCAGCAATCCCATGGGAGACCCTGCAAGAAGGTGACAGATGAATGAGGTCAGGAAGCTGATGGTAACTCTTCCCTCCCCTCATGAGATCCCTTTTGAAGACCCTCCTCTCCAGCTCTGACCTTACCCCTCCCCCAGCCTCCTCTTTCCAGTCTCTCCTCTTACTGCCCTGATGGGTCCCTGGGAAAGAGGGGGCTTCCCCACCACCTCCCATCATACCCCTGCCTTGGGTGACATGGGGGGCTGAGACTTTACAGAAGCGAAGGCCCGTAGGGAAAGAAGAGGCCAGATATTGAAAAAAGGGGCACAGCTCTCAAGGTATCCATCCCAGGGACAACGGAGGCTCCCAGGTGTTCAGGTGGCAATGAGTAGTGCTTGTGCTTACTAGAAAGCGTTTCCCCAAAGGGTGGGGTGGAGGGAACGTAAGCCAGGAAGCACCTGGCAGGGCATCAGGAAACAGGGCGGGCAGGCTCCACCCTTCTCAAAAGGCTCAGAAGTTCTCCGTCATCCCACCCCCCATTGCTGGGGCTTCCATTATCACCTCCTCCAGGGGGAGCTCACATTCGAGGCATAGCTGTCACTTTCTGCACAGACAGTCCCCAAACAGCTTCCTCTGAGCCTGGGTCAGCCACCTTTCTGGGCTGGCAGAGGGATCTTCCCAACCCTAGTGGGGAGTCTGCCCCTCACTGTCTCCCACCGCAAGCCTAGTCCAGTCAGCATGGCACTGGGGCAGGCTCAGGGAGGGCCAGTGAGACAGGCCTCTGCCTGCTCCACCTTCCCACGTCCTTTCTTTCTCCCAAAAAGGTTCAAGGCCTGGCCTTACAAGGCAGGGTCACAGAGCCTCATCCTTATTCCCCAGCCTGGCCCAAAGGAAACTACCAGTCACCTCCTCTTTCTTTGTCTGGGTGGTAGGCCTTTCACCTCCTCATCCTCTTTGGTTCCCCCTGCCTGCAGCCTACCAGTCACACCCCACCAGCCTGACAGCCCCAAGAGATACTAATTGCCTGTCTGGCAAACCTCTATAATTACAGACTCTGTCAATGACCCAGTCACCCACACCAGTTCTCCCTTCACCAGCTCAGATCCCACCCTTAACTCCAGGTCAGGCAGTCCTGAAAGCCAGAAGTCCTTTTCATCCCTGACCCTCTCCAACTATGGTAGGCGAGGGTGCCTGGCTCAGGAAGAAAAACCTCATCCACATTTTAGAGATGCCAAGCCCTCCTCCAGGGCCCCCTGCCAGGGTCTCCACCCAGTCTGAGTATGAGTCACAGGAGGGTGGGGAGCGCAGGGAGAGGTTAAAGGATGTAAGGGTGGGCATCACAAGTTCTACAGGCAGCCCCACCCTTGGGGAGGGAGGGATCAAGAAACACAATCAGCCTGAAGATCTGAGTTTGAGTCCCAAGAAAGAGTTAATGTAGGAGCTGCACACGCCCTCAGGAGTCAGGAGTCTGGATAAGGACCAGGAAAGTTGTTTTACCTCTGAGACCCTGGGGAGACTGAAAGCAGGCTTGGCCCCAGAACTCTTCCCCTCTGGGGGGGCTGGAGGGGCCATGATTCCAAGGGAAAGGGAGGAGAGACCTGGGAGCTGGGATCACTCTCACTTTTCCTTCTCAGTCTCACACAGCCTGGGTTTTCTGAACAGGTCAGGCTCCTCAGCCACGTTGCCCTGCCCCGTCACCCTGCCCCAGCCCCCTCTCGGCCACATTTGGGATAAAAATAGCCAGCCCCGGCAAGGAGGCAATGCTCCATGGAGGAAAACAGCTCCTCCTATAGGTCCGGGCTCTGCTCCCTTCCGAGCAAGAGCCCCAAAGGCTGGCCACTTCTTTCAGAGGAGGCTGGCGGGTCAGGGAAACAGGAGGAAATGGAAGACCCCCAGGTCATCGGCCACCAATACGAACTCGGGCCACCTTCCGTCACCGAGGACAGAACTCAGGGCACAGCTATCATCTCCCAGAGCTACCGCCCCTCCTGACACACTCGGTTTTCCTCAGGCAGAGAGACCTCCACCTTAGAAAGACAAAGCCTACCAGCCCGAACTCCCTTCTCCAGGCACCGAACCCTCGGGGCCCGGCTACTCCTCTCGCCCCACAACTCTCTGGGCGGGTCTCCGGCGGCGGAGGCTGCACGAGATTTTCCTGGGCACTCGCGCCGCTCTCCTGCTCTCCACGCGCCCCTTCGGCACCCCATCCTCCCACCCAGCACACAGTCCCCCGCTCTGCCCCGTCCCCGGGCACCCGACAGCCCCTGCTCTCCAGTCGGCCGCCACCCCCGCCCTGTCTGGCCGCAGCTCCCGACTCCCGGTCCCCGGTGCTCGCCCGTCTACACCCGCTCCAGGGCCCCTCCAGCCCCGCGGCCGCCGCCGCATCCCTCTGCCCTCCCGGCCCCGCGCTCCCGGGCGCCCCCGCCTCGCCTCGCCTCACCTCAGCGCTCAGCGCTCGGCGCCCGCCCCGGCGGCCCCGTCCTGCCCATGCCGGGGGCTGGGGCGGGGGGCGCTCGGCTCAGCTCCCCGCGGGCTCCCGCCCCCCCAGCTGTGGCCCCGCTCCCCCGGGGCCTCGGCCCGCTACTTTGTGTCAGTTTCAGCCACGGCGGGGCGGAAGTGACGGAACTGGCGGCGGGGCCGGGGGGCGGGAGGGGGTTTTGGGGAGGGGAGAGGGATCTGGGAAGAGGGAGCAGCCATCTTTGTGCGGGGCAAGGGGAGGGTCTTAGCCCTTCCGAGGCTCGGCGTGGCCGGGCTGGGATCCCCCCAACACGCACGTCCATCTGCATCTTAAAAGAAAAAATAATTTGGGAGGCTAGATCGCTCAGAGGGTTTTTTTAATTTGGAAGAAGGGAATAGAGGAACAGTGCCTTCTCTGCAAAACGAGCATCCTCTGCAGGGAGCGGCGGGAGAGCTGTAGAAGTGGTGAACAGCCTGAATCTCCCCGGCGCCAGGTTGCCCTCAGCCCCCGACTCTCGCTCCTCGGAGCCGTCCGCCCTCCGTTCCTTCACCCTTCCTCCTCGCCCTGCCTCATCTCACTGTATCTCACTCTCCTTGAGTGCACAACGCCGCACCGAGATGTCGAGGAACCGTGCCTCAGTTTCCCCGCCTTGCTCTCGGTCTCTGTGCCCCGCCGCCCTCCCTCCCTCCGTCCCCACCACGCCCCCTAAGTGGAGGCGGCCTCCCCACCCTTAACTACCCGCTGCGGGAGGCTTCCCGAGAGGGTGAAGGCGGGAGGCACCGAGGCGATGAGAGCTGGGAGTCGGCAGTCGGGACAGGCTGCGGAGGGCAGTCCCCAGGGTTGTGCCCTACCCTGGATGGTGGCCCCCTCCACCCTGCAGATGCCCACAACCGTCCCCGTCCAGCGTCCGGGTGCGCACCCTCTAGCGGCTACTTCGAGTAACTACGTTCCAAGAGGCCTGGAGGGTCGTGAGCGGGGTGAGAAGCCTGAGTCCCGGTACCTTATCCTCCTCCACTTCTCCCTGTCCAGGATCCTTCTTAGGAGGAAGGGGTGCCAGGTGGGTAAACGGGAAGCCTCCCAGCTTCTGGCACATGAACAAGGAGGAAGGATAACTGTTGCTCCCAGGCAGGGTCAGTGGCTGGCTCCAGGGTCCACGAGTGAAGTGAGGATTGGCCTAATCATAGCTTACACTCGAGCACCTGAGCTGAGGCAGGAGTTTTTAACTCTGACGCTTTATGTTGGGCAGACACCAGATGCTGAACTGGCTCTGGGTCCTCGGGATGGTGCAGAGCCACCAACAGCTGGTAAGTGGCTGTGCCAAGGGTGGCTCCCACCATGGGGGCCACCACAGGCACCCACCACCAACCATTACCAGCACTGCAAAAGAAGGACAATAGGCGGGTATCAGGAGTGACTCCCTTAGCCTCCCCCTCTCCAAGGACCAGGGGCAGTAGCAAGAGAGTGCCCTAAAGTTGTTCCCGGAGTGGTAGACACCAGGAAGAGGATTGCCTTGGCACCGGAGCATAGTATTTACAAGAGGGAACCCCAGGAGAGCTCTGTCCAGCCTCTTGCCTTAAGGAGTGATCTGAATGTATTAATTTTGCTGATGAAGTCTCTAATGTGCACAGAGGTGATATACCATGCTTAAGAACACAACCTCTAAATCTTACTGTTTCCGTGAAAAGTGGGGAGGGAAGCAAGGGAGAAAGAGGGGGCATGTGACTTGGAGAAAGAACATTGTCCTGAGAGGCCAAGAGAGCTATTTAAAGACAGACTTTGGGGACCCAGGGACAGAGCCCTTAGCAGAGGAACGTGAGTGGAGGCCAGCACCAGAGGAGGGTCTCTCCCACCTGAAGACTTCAGGACCCCAGCCAGCCACGTAGGTGAAGAGACGTGGGCCCAGGTCCCGCGCCGGGTTGAGTGGAGTCCCGCAGTTGGCACCCATGGATAACCCGATGGCCAAGACCAGCATCCCCACCACCACAGGCTCCAGACCCGCAGGGACTCCCTTGTTCTGTCTGTCCAGGATGGCCAAGAGCCCCACGATCAGCACCCCGGTGCCCAGAACCTCGAAGTAAACAGAGGCAGAGGGGGCCCCGTCAGCTTCCAGGTGCTCCATCTGCCCTCTCTCATCCAAATGCTCCATGTCATCTAGCCTTGTGCAACACAGGCTGTTGGGGATGGTAGGGGGCGCCAAGATGGACCCAACCGACACTCTACCCAGAGACCGAACAACCGGCTGGGGTCTGGAGGAACAGGGCGAAAGTTGGGTCCCCAGACCTCCCCCTCACACCTACCTGATCCAGGAAGCCATTGTTCAGGGACAGATAGGGGGCAGGATAGGTGGCAAAAATAGAGGCTGTCTCCTTGGGGCCAGTCACTGTCAGATTCCCACCTGTATAGTTCTGCAGGGCATCTGTGGACGAGGGGAACACCCAGGATTTCCCTCTTTGCTTGTTCATCCAAAACCATTCTGAGGTGCCCCTGCCCACCCACAGGTGCTCCCAAGGCATGGCTCCCTCTGTTCCCTCTGTCACCGTAGTAGAGAACATAGGTGGCTCCTGAAGCACAGAAAGCAGACAGCAACTGCACCAAGATGTAAATAGGGAGCTTGACCCAGGGGAGGCGTCCAAGGAGGCACATGGCCAGGGAGAAGGCTGGATTCAGGTGGGCCCCTTCAAGGATCAAGGAAAGAAATACAGCATCTATTAAGTGTCACTGCCAAGCATTGTCACCAGACAACACTGCCGCTTCTTCCTACAGCTCTTAAGGGAGGTAGTATAATTTCCATCATGCAGCTTAGGAAGTTGAGGCTCCAGGACGTTAAGCAATTTATCAAAGTCACACTGTGGGCTGGGCACAGTGGCTCATGCCTGTAATCCCAGCACCTTGGGAGGCCAAGGAGGGTAGATCACTTGAGGTCAGGAGTTTGGACAAGCCCAGCCATCTGGTTAAAACCCGTCTCCACTAAATACACAAAAATTAGCCAGGTGTGGTGGCAGGCACTTGTAATCCCAGCTATTTGGGACGCTGAGGGAGGAGAAATGCTTAAACCCAGGAGGGAGAGTTTGCAGTGAACAGACATCACACCACTACACTTCAGCCTGGGCAACAGAGTGAAACTCCATCTCAAAAAAAAAAAAGAAGAAGAAGAAGAAGAAGATACTGTGAATCCAAGATTGGAACCTAGGTCTGTCTGCTTTATCCACAGCAACACACTATGTCTCAAGGCTCCAGCCAGGCACACACCGAGGCACTGTGTATCTGCGGACAAGCAGGAGAGGCCCTGAGCAGAGATGAGCCCCCAGAGGGCTTCAGGTGGGGAACACAAAATGATAGCCCTTTGTGCCTGCCATAGATTTCTACCTAGGTGAGCCAAGCATTCGTGTGAGGAAGAGGGATGGAGAGATACAGAAAGGGGATGGGCTGGTGGGGCCAAAGGCTTATCTCGATCTGGGGCACTGGTCAAACTCAAGGAGATAATGCCCATGAGTCACAGAAGGATTTGCCTTTCCACCATCACCAGACAGACATGCTCACATGCACGTCTCACCTGCTCCGATGACCAGACCCCTCCCTCCTCACCTGAGACATTACCACCCACGTAGATGGCTATCGTGACGGACAGAGAGCCAGCCAGAAACATGGTGAAGAAGTTGCCTTTGGCTTCTCCACTGGTGACAGCCTGGGCCACAGCTCCTTGGGTGAGGAGCTGGGGAGAAGAGGGGAGATGAGGAACAGGGGCCCAGGAGACCAGCAGGGAGAAGGTGGGGAAGGCCAGGGGGGCAGCCGAGGAGATGAAGGGCATGGAAGACAAGCACGGGAGGGAGAAAAGCAGAAGGGAAGGGAAAAGAAATGGAGACAGTGGAGGAAGAAGAAACAAAAAGAATGTGGGAAGAAAAGTGAAAAAAATAAGAAAGATGAAGTAGAAGGCCGGACACGGTGGCTCACACCTATAATCCCAGCACTTCGGGAGGCCGAGGCAGGTGGATCACGAGGTCAAGAGATCGAGACCATCCTGGTCAACATGGTGAAACCCCGTCTCTACTAAAAATACAAAACTTAGCTGGGCATGGTGGCGCGCACCTGTAGTCCCAGCTACTCGGGAGGCTGAGGCAGGAGAATTGCTTAAACCCGGAAGTTGGAGGTTGCAGTGAGCTGAGATCGTGCCATTGCACTCCAGCCTGGGTAACAGCAGCGAAACTCCATCTCAAAAAACAAAAAAAGATGAAGTAGAAGAGGAAAGGGGGGACAAGAGGATGAAAACAAAAGATTGGGAGCTGGCAGTTGGGGGACACCAGGAGAAAGAGACAAGGACACCAGAAGGAGCCGGGGACTTTTGCCCACCTCCCTTCTGCCCTCCCCCAGTTACCCAACCTACCATGAGCACAAACACACCCAGAAACTCTGCCAGGCACTGCCGGGCCAGGAGGCTGCGTATCTGGAGGTGGCCCCTGACTTCAGCCCGGGCCTGAGTGAAGACCATGGTGGAAACACCCTGTGCCGCTCACTCTCCCTGTCTGCATAGGCACACTGCCGCTGCACAGCTGCTGGCTGCCCCCAGCCAAGATAAGGAGGAGACTTTAAAACCATTAGCTCAATTACTGAACAGCAGCTACTGTCTATGCACGTGCGTAGGCTAGGAAACAGACAGATAACAGAAGAATGTCTGGGAGCAGGCTATGAGCACAGAGCTGGAGTTTGCGCAACCTCTGTCTCGTCTATCCTTCATCCCCATTCATCACAGGACTAGCCTCCCTCCTCCTGACAAACTGAAGGAAGTAGCCTCCTTCATATACATTTGATCTCTTGGTCCTGAAGTCACTCTGCAGAGTAGCACTATTGCTTCCATTCTACAGATGAGGCTACTGGGCCTTAGAACTCTCCAAGATCACACACTTTTTTTTCTCTTTTTTTAGAGAGTCTCGTTCTGTTACCCAGCCTGGATGGAGTACAGTGGCACCATCTCAGCTCACTGCAACCTCCGTCTCCCAAGTTCAAGTGATTCTCCTGCCTCAGCCTCCCAAGTAGATGGGACTACAGGTGTGCGCCACCACACCCAGCTAATTTTTATGTGTTTTAGTAAAGGCGTGGTTTCACCATGTTGGCCTGGCTGGTCTCGAACTCCTGACCTCTAGTTATTCACCCACCTCGGCCTCCCAAAGTGCTGGGATTACAAACATGAGCTCTTCTCCCGGCTCAAGATCACACAATTATTCATGGCTGAGTGAATTCAAATCCAGATCTTCTGACTCTCCATCTGGTAGCCCACAAAGCCTCTCATTTAGAACCTGAAACCTTTCCCCAAACCATTTGGATGCTTGAAGAACTCAATAGGCATCTGGAGAGACGGGGCTGAAGACCATAGACGGTGGGAATGAAACCCACGCCGTGAGTCCTTGTACTTCCCTAATGCAGGGTCTCGCACAGGTTAGAGAATGCTCTGTCTTCGTGTCCCCCGACATGGCTTGACGTGAGGCCTTCACACTCACGCTGAGCTCCACCTGGCCTTCTTTGGGTGCATGCCACTCCTGCTCTGCTCGAAGTAACCGCACCCTACTTCATATCTGAAGCCTCCAATTAAATGCATTCAAAGAATCTACTTCTAAATTTAAATTTAAAGTGAAAGCAAGTTTATTAAGAATGTAAAGGAGTAGCCGCGCGAGGTGGCTCACGCCTATAATCTCAGCACTTTGGGAGTCTGAGGCGGGTGGATCACGAGGTCAAGAGATCAAGACCATCCTGGTCAACAAGGTGAAACCCCATCTCTACTAAACATACAAAAATTAGCTGGGCATGGTGGCACGCGCCTGTAATCCCAGCTACTCAGGAGGCTGAGGCGGGAGAATTGCTTGAACCCAGGAGGCGGAGGTTGCGGCGAGCTGAGATCGTGCCATTGCACTCCAGTCTGGTTAACAACAGCAAAACTCCGTCTCAAAAAAAAAAAAAGAATGTAAAGGAGTAAAAAAATGACTACTCCACAGACAGAGCTGCCCTGAGGGATGTTGGTTGCCTATTTTTATGGTTGTTTCTTGATGATATGCTAAACAAGCTGTGGGTTATTCCTACATTCCCTTTTCAGACCATATAGGGTAACTTTCTGTCATTGCCATGGCATTTGTAAACTGTCATGGCATTGGTGGGCGTTTAGTTGGGGATGACCAGAGGTTACTCTCATGGCCATCTTGGTTTTTGTGGGCTTTTCTACTGCAATCTGTTTTATCAGCTACGTCTTTATGGCCTGTATCTTGTGCCAACCTCCTAACTCATCCCGTGACTTTGAATGCCTTAACCGTCTGGGAATGCAGCCCAGTAGGTCTCATTTTACCCAGCTCCTATTCAAGATGGAGTTCCTCTGGTTCACAGGCCTCTGATAATCTTGCTTTCCTGCCTTCCTTGCATGTGTATTTCTCCAGAGTGACAGCACTCACCAATAAACCCTGTTTATGTATGTCTTCATTTTAGTCTTTTTCAGGGAGATGCTTGGTGCCAAGAGTGGTCCTAGTGAGCATTCTCTAAAATGGGATTCGTATGATAGATCATTCTCCTGGCTGGCAGTAAGGACTATGGTGTGGTGGTAGGTAGAGGATGGATATCTCTAGCATGCTTTAGTAATGCAATTATTAAAACTGTCAGCCAGGCACAGAGGCTCACGTCTGTAATCCCAGCACTTTGTGAGGCTGAGGTAGGAGGGTCACAAGGTCAGGAATTTGAGACCAGCCTGACCATCTCTACTAAACATGGTGAAACTCCATCTCTACTAAACATACAAAAATTAGCCAGGCGTGATGATGCACACCTGTAGTCCCAGCTACTCAGGAGGCTGAGGCAGGAGAATCACTTGAATTCAGGAGGCAGAGATTGCAGTGAGCCAAGATCAGGCCACTGCACTCCAGCCTGAGCGACAGAGAGAGACTTCATCTCAAAACAAAAAAGAAAAGAAAAAAAAAATAGCCAGGCGTGGTGGCAGGCACCTGTAGTCCCAGCTACTTGGGAGGTTGAGGCAGGAGAATCTCTTGAACTCAGGAGGCAGAGGTTCTAGTGAGTCGAGCTGGCGCCATTTCACTCCAGCCTGGGCAACAAGAAGAAACCAAAAAAAACAAACCGTCAGATCTCATGAGACTGATTCACTATCACAGGAACGGCATGGGAAAGACCTGACCCCACAATTTAATTACCTCCCACCAGGTCCCTTCCACATCACAGGGGAATTCAAGATGAGATTTGTGATGGGGACACAGCCAAACCATATCAGGGTCTCACTCTGTTGCCCAGGCTGGCGTGCAGTGGCACAATCTTGGCTCACTGCAACCTCCATCTCCTGGGTTCAAGCAATTCTTGTGCCTCAGCCTCCACGGTAGCTGAGACTACAGGCGTGTGCCACTATGCCCAGCTGGCTAACTCTTCACTAGCAAAATGGTTGTACAAAGTCTTCAAAGGAAGCAGGTGCTTTACAAGATGATACTCATCCTCTCCAGGATCTATTGCCACTTCCCCTCCTGGCAGTAAAACAAATAACAAGGATTTGTCTACCAAAGACCCAAAGAGAATGTTCTGGCCTACTAAGAGAAGGGAGGAAATACATGGTAAAGGAACTTCAGGATCTGGCTAATACATACCTGCAGACTTGGGTAGGACACATGGATTCTGAGAATGTTGGATCAAGAGAGGTGGAACATAATGTTAGATATGGAAGAATTTATCAATACGGGAGCACTTGACTGTGACATAGAATTCAACATCCTGCTGTAAGCACCCAGTGGGTTCACCTTGCCCACTGCCTAGACAGAGATGATTTATCAAGGCAGGGGAATTGCAATAGAGAAAGAGTAATTCACACAGAGCTGGCCGTGCAGGAGACCAGAGTTTTATTATTATTCAAGTCAGTCTCCCGTAACATTAGGGAATCAGAGTTTGTTTGTTTGTTTTGTTTTGTTTTTTGAGATGGAGTCTTGCTCTGTCATCCAGGCTGGATTGCAGTGGTGCGATCTCAACTCACTGCAACATCCAACTCCCGGGTTCAAACTATTCTGCTGCCTCAGCCTCCCAAGCAGCTGAGATTACAGGCACCCACCACCACACCTGTCTAATTCTTGTATTTTTAGCAGAGACAGGGTTTCACCATGTTGGACCAGGCTGGTCTCAATCTCCTGGCCTCAGGTGATTCACCCACCTCGGCCTCCCAGAGTGCTGGGATTACAGGAGTAAGTCACCGTGCCCAGCTGGGGATCAGAGTTTTTAAGGGCATCTTAGTGAGTCAGGGAAAGTCTGTGAGCCAGGAGTGCTGATTGATCAGGTCAGAGATGAAATCATAGGGAGTTGAAGCTATGTTCTTGTGCTGAGTCAGTTCCTGGGTGGGGGCCACAAGATCAGATGAGCCAGTTAATCAATCTAGGTGGTGCCAGCTGATCTATCAAGTGCAGGGTCTGCAAAATATCTCAAGCACTGATTTCAGGAGCAGTTTAGAGAGGGTCAGAATCTTGTAGGCTCCAGCTGCATGACTCCTAAACCATAATGTCTAATCTTTTTTTTTTTTTTTTTGAGACGGAGTTTCGCTCTTGTTGCCCAGGCTGGAGTGCAGTGGGGCAATCTCAGCTCACTGCAACCTTTGCCTCCTGGGTTCAAGCGATTCTCCTGCCTCGGCTCCTGTAAAAATTGGTTAGATCATGGCAGATGGCAGCAGTGTACCATAAACTTCACCGAACAGCAACCCCAATTGTAGTTGCTGTGTCCCACGTGGTAACTTTGTAAAACAGTTTAACATAGCCTCTGGGTGTTGACGTGTAGCCATTAATTCGGTTGGTGAATGCCCAAATGGATTAGAAAGGAGAGTCAGAAGCAGGATCATTTGCACCCACATGGGAAATTTATTGATGGGCTTGTCCCAAGAGTATGGATGGGGTTTTTTATGTGTTTTGTTTTGTTTTGTTTTGTTTTGTGACAGAGTCTCGCCCTGTCACCCAGCCTGGAGTGCAGTGGCACAATCTCGGCGCACTGCATACTCTGCTTCCTAGGTTCAAGCAATTCTCCTACCTCAGCCTACCAAGTAGGTGGGATAACCAGTGCATGCCAACATGCATGGCTAATTTTTGCATTTTTAGTAGAGATAGGTTTTAGCCATGTTGGCCAGGCTGGTCTCAAACTCCTGACCTCAAGTGTTCCGCCCTCTTGTTGCCCAGGCTGGAGTGCAATGGCATGATCACGGCTCACTGCAACCTCTGCCTCCCATGTTCAAGCAGTTCTCCTGCCTTTGCCTCCTAGGATTACAGGAGCACACCACCACACCCAGCTAATTTTGTATTTGTAGTAGAGACAAGGTTTCACCATGTTTGTCAGGCTGTTCTTGAACTCCTAACGTCGAATTATCCACCTGCCGTGGCCTTCCAAAGTGCTGGGATTACAAATATGAGCCACCATGCCCGGACCCAGGATTATGTTAACTCTCTGGCCCTCTGTCATAATATACTCTGAAGGTATCTTGTCTATATGAATAACCTGAAGAACATATTCGTTCTGAAGTAAGCTTCAAAGCAAGTGGCCCAGACAACTATAAA